GGAGACAACCAATTATAATACATACAGAGATCAAAATTCAAAAAATAGAAAAGAAATCGTGTTTGGGACCTGCAATGTGAACAATCTATCCTCAAAATGGACTTCCTTGGTTAAGAAGTCAGCTCCTATCGTCGCCTTGTATTGATTACTGAACTTTCGATTCACAAACCTAAAAAACTCACACCCATTATTGAAAAACAAATCCAAATGAAAAACAAAAAATCTTAAGAAGATTTCTGAAGAGTAATACTGATTCATTGGTGATGTCTTGCCTACCCTGCATAAATTATCAAAAACAAAAATCACATTAGCCAAAGATAAAATAAAATAAAATATATATATATATATATATATATATATATATATAAGGCGAGAGAAAAGTGATTAAAAGTACCCGCTGTCACCGAGAATTATAACCTTCAAGAGCATGCGTCTACGAGTAGCCATTGATTCTTCAAGGAACTTTCTTTGAGAAGGCAATTCTGGTTTTTATTTTTTTTAGTTCAGAAAATTATGGTTTGTTTTTAGGGCGTAGAGAGAGAGAGAGAGGGCGTTACCTTTGTTGAAAGGCTTGAATTAGAGGGAGGAGAAATTTAGAACATGTAATTAATTTTGTTTTGTTTGCTCTAATATATTAAAAATTAATTTAATTTAAAATTTGAATTATTAAATAATATAATAAGATAAATTTATATTATTTTTTAAATAAAAATCTGTTGAAATTAAAAATTGCAAAAATATATATTATTTTATACTTATTTTTTATCAAACAAATAAAAATAATAAATTTCAAACTTATAATCACTTAATTATTAAAATTATAATATTTTATTAAAAAATTAATTTAATTAAAATTATAAAATATAAAATATAATTTATACCATCATCCACCGCATGCCACCCTGTCATTACTCGCGGCAGCAAGATGCCAGCCGGCAGCCGCCTCGTTGAATTTCCTGATTCCGAGAATGCCCGTGTTATTATTCAATAAAATAGAATTGTATTATCTATTATCAATTACTATTAGAATGGATAAGGGCCACGATAAAATAATATCAGCGGGAGTGTCATTATCAAGAAAGTCAGTTATGTAGCGGCTTAGTTTCTAGTAGGAACGCCACGTGATTGAATGTTTATCTTATTCCGTCAATTCTTTTATTATTATTATTATTAGAAAAATTACGTTTAATATCTTTTAGCTCAAGAAATTATACTTTAGGTGAACAAAAAATATTTAAATATGATAAAATAATTAAATTAACAAACTACCAGTCGTTTTCTCTCTCTTCAGACAACATTATTCTCTCTCTCAATTTTATTTTCCCAACAAAACCGAACCCGAAATCTATTAATTTATCACACCATTTCTTTTGTTAAGGTTGCTTTCTCTACCGGATGAAATCTCTCTTTTTATTTTAAAGCAAATGATTATTTTTTCAAAACTCAAAAAAAAAAAAACTTCAAATTGAAAACAAACGAAAATGAAACCACAAGAAAAAAACTTAAGAAACTAGATTAAACTTTTATCTTCTTAGTTAAATTATAAACTCAAAAGTGCTTTATGGACAATTCTTGCCAATTTAGTCACCATTTATTTTTATTTTTATTTTTAAACTACGTTCGAATATGTTTGAAAAATATTTTTAAATTAAAAAATATTAAATTAATACTTTTTTAATATTTTTAATAATTTTGATGTGCTAATGTTAAAAATTTTAAAAATATATATTATTTTAATACATTTTCAAATAAAAAATACTTTTTAAAATTGATAGTAATTTTAGCAAGTAATGTTTTATGAATTTGATCATGCTTGCATTACGCGATATGCCTTATGTCTTTGTGTTGAAATTTTCACAACCTAATTGATTGTTAATGTTATCTATTAGTTTTTCATAAATAAATTTGCTATTAATGCCTTGTATCTTTGTGTTAAATTTTTTACAAATAGATTGATTATTGATGTTATCTATTAGTTTTCCATAAATAAGTATGCTACTGCTTTATTGTATTTTGTTGCCATCACCATTTAAATTTGGCATCTTCAGTTCATTAGTATGAATAGCCATATCACTCTCTTTTTTATTAGTTATGAGTTTTAAAATAATCTATTAATCATTTAGTTCAAGCAATATGATTTATTCCTCCTAATCAAGATATTCGATTGTTTCTTAGTTATTTTCTTAAAATTATTTTTGTGACACTCAAATCTCCTTCATTTTTATTCATGTAGCACAAAATTAGGCTAAAGATTCTATATGAAAACAAACCTTACTCCCACTATTACATATTTTTTAAACCTTACTTCTACTCTTACATATATTTTTAGGAGTGGAGGTTCATGTTAAAAGTGTTAAAATAAAATGATTGTGAACCTCGAAATCGAATGATTCATGGTGTGTTTATAGCTCATGAGTCTTGTTTTTTTTGTAGAGAGGAGAGGCTAAATTATAATTTTACCTTTATGATATTTTGAATTGTATTCTAATCAAAATAATACATATACAATCAATATACAATATTACGAGACATGCATAAGATCCTAAAATATTTTTAAATGATGCATTGCTCGAGTCCATTAGAGATGAAAAATAAGTCCAAAAGTGGTGTTTGGACCCAACCAATGAGGCAGGTAGCCCGAGCCAATAAGGGTGTTGGGCTACACACCTAGCACCAACTAGGCATGCACTTAGATGATGGGCTTAAGCATCTATGCTCGAGCTCAGGTGTACTTTTAATAGAAGTTTGGGCTACCATATTTAAGCCCATGCACATTGGTAAAAGTTTGGGCTTGGGCATGGGAACCGAGCCCATGGTAATGTTTTTTTTTTATCTTTGATGGAGATTTTGAGTCTTTGTAGGGTTTGAACTTATTAAACTTGGATCTTGCAGATGAGAATGCAAGATGTTATATTTTTCTCTTATGATGTTTAGTATTTTATTTTTATTTGAAGTCTAAATGTACTCATTTCTTTTATATTTTGATTTAGGATACAAATAGAGATGTTAAGGGTAAATAGAGATGTTAAGGGTAAAATGAGGTTAATTGGACAATTCTGATTAGTTTTGACATAACTTTGTAATCTAGTCATAACTCTGTCATCCGAACATCTATTGAGATGATTCAAAATGTCATATTTTTTTCATATAATGCTTAGTATTTTTTACTTATTTGATGTCTAAATGCACTCATTTTTTTATATATTTCAATTTATGATTCAAAATAGAGACATTAAAGGCAAAACAAAGTTAATTAAGTGATTATGGATAGTTTTAACATAGCTTTGTAATCTAGTCATAACTCTCTCATCCAAGCTCTAAATGAGATTATTCAAAATGCATGAAACCTTAAGAAATATCTATACAACTTTCATTTTTTGAGTTTTGAGAAATATTTATTGAAGTCAAAATTGGGTATAAAATCCTTGCACTTGTACTTTTAAGATGCTGGAACATTCTTTGACTTACAAATTTAATATTATATGACTTATTTTTAAAAGCTTCTAAATTTGATGCATGCATTACAACTAAAGATATTATTTTCCTTATCATATTAGGATTTTATTTTATTATTTAATAATTTCATTAAATATTCAGATTTGATAATTATTAATGAAGGATAATATTAAAAGTATTTTTAGGAGACTTTGTAGGCTTTTAAAGAGCGGGGAAAACATGTAAAAAAAAAAAGAAAGGCATTAGATCAAACTTCTCTCTTCTCTTCTCTCTATTTTTTTTCTCCTTTGAATTTTCATCGTGATACTATGTAATTAAATTTTTATTTGGTCAAAGGAAACGAAAGCCTTGAAATCAATAAAGCTATGAGATCTAATTTGTTTTCATTTTTCAATTTATACTTTGAGTATTGAATGTTCTTTTATGTTTATTTTCTTGTTTAATTACTAGGGGGCTGCTAGTTTATTATTCGTTGCAATCTAGTACTAGATTAAATATCATATATCTAATTATTTGATCTCTCTAATATGTGAAGTAACTAAGGTTAATGATTTGTTGCGTAAAAAATTAGTAAATTTTCAGAAGAATATTTGACTAAATTAAATGCAATCGTTTGTGCTTGTGTTGTTTAGCTTCATCAATTTCTCTAATTTTTAAGGCTGCAACTAGATTAAATTTATAACGATTGTTTTAAGTTATTCAGTAGTTAGAGTTAATTAAATTGAATTGATCGCAACTAAAGAGAAATAGAAAAATAATTCCAATGGTAAATATTAAAAGTATAAATAAATATATATTTTCATCAATGATCAATTATAAAAAACTCGATAGTAAATGTTGACTTAAACCAAAATTTGTTCTTTTAACTAGTTTTGATATTTTAATTTAACTTGTTTCTTAGTTATTTTCTTAAAATTATTTTTGAGACACTCAAATCTCCTCCATTTTTATTCATGTAGCACGGCTAAAGATTCTATATGAAAACGAACCTTACTCCCACTATTACATATTTTTTAAACCTTACTTCTACTCTTACATATATTTTTAGGAGTGGAGGTTTTATTTTTGGTTCTAGGACACCACCCCACTTGGCAAAATCATTTTGCAGACGCAATATAAATGTATAAGCTAAAGTAGATGGTAGCTAATAGCGATACTCTGAAATAGTTAAAGTGGGAATGGTTGAGATTTCATGATATGCCAAAACTGATATCCTTCCATCATATGGATCGTTTGTTCTATTTTCTTTGAACTTCTTCAATGGTTCTTTTGATTTTTATTTTAATTGTCTTTCATGCAGAATATTCTTCCGTTGCTTTTCTCAGATTCCTACATGCTGCTGGGTTTGGGCTTAACTTGAGCCAAAAAAGAATGCCATATGTTGAACAATTCGGTTTGCTGCCCTGGAATTGATAACCAAAGAGTGCATAGGTTTGCTGCTTCTGTTCGTAGTTGCAAGCCACCTTAAGTTTATGAAGGGAAAGGGATTATGTAAATTGATTAAGTTATTAAGAAGAAACAAGGAAAGAAGTCGAAATGATAGATTAATTTAATTTAATTAATCTGCTATCTCCTGGCCATAAAAGGAGCTGGCTGGATGGCATCCAACAAAATTCCACATGCTCCATGAATATACAAGCAAGTAGTTAAAGGGAGTAATCAAATCTAAAGAATAGTAACGGTGGTGGTTTCACCTATCCTAATTATTGTCCAGAAAAATGAACCCACGAGGCCAATGCAGTTAAACCATGGCATTTAAGTTCAACTGTGCGCGTGAAATTTGAACCTTTGTAGCCTATATCTACCTCATACATCAACCTCATTTTGGCGACAAAATTGTGGTTTGTCCAGAGTAGGCATGACTTTTGACAAACCAAGGAATGTGATGTAGGCAGCTGTTTAAGACCTTTCCTAGGTATCTTTGATGTTTTCCTCCTTCCTTTGTGAATCCATCTCTGGTTTAGTTTGTTGGCCTTCTGTGCTTGAGCGGAATGGATTCCGACCAGACTCGCTTGTGGGTTCAGTGCACTCTTGGCTGCTTGTACTTGCTAGTGGGTTCGCTCTGCTATCATGCTCAGGACTTTCTAGTGCTAACTTTCTGAATTTCTTCAGGTCCTCCTCATATTGGCGAATGGTATAATCTGAGCTTGCAGAACTGTATACCATGCTAAGCCCAGGAGTGATCCCCTCATTCAATTCACCAAGAGGCATATTTCCTTCCAGAGCTCGAACTATCTGCTTTGAACAAAATGCAGAAGGGTTGCATGCCAGCATATAGAGTGTAGTTCTAATATTTTAGATTCCAAACAGTATTGGTTCTGGAGAAAGTCAAACTTGCAATATCTCATATATGTATCACAATTCCAACCAAAACTGGAAATTTGGAACACTTGATATCTTCTAAAATATTGGATACGAGTTTTAAGTGCTTCAACAAATAATTCAGAAAAAAGTTCATGGTGCCAAGATAATTAAAGAAAAGAAATCGAATAGTTTATGCAAAACCTCATTGGAAGAATTGAAGCTATTCAACTTTGAATCAATAACGAATGAATAAAGTAAACACACGTATTCACAATCAAAAGCAGTATACTCAGTGCTTGTTGAATTACCTGGCTCATTCGCGGCCGAAACCGTCCCAGATGACGTACACAAGCTGCAGCACAACAAATCATTTGGATCATTTCATTAGAATCATAGTCCTGCAGTTTTGGGTCAACAACAGCATCAAAGTTGCCATCTTCTAGAGCTTGTTTGAGCAAAGGCCTTGCCTGGTGATTCATGAAAGAGTGTTATTTTTGCATAACAATCCCTTTTCAATATTTAACTTGTATGTTCATCACCTAAATGTCCTAATAATTTAACTTAAGAAAAGACCACTTAAAGAAAATGATACAAGCACAAATGCATCCAGTGCCTGAAAAGATCTCAATTGCCATGAAGATAGGATTCAACTCAATCCCACTGACCAGCAATTGGATACCTCTACCCACTATTGCAAAAAATATCATGGGCAATACTAATCTTTTCACCAATCACCAACATAAATACATAGTAAATAAGCATTGTCATAAGCATGTTAAAGTCTGCAAAACACTGAAATTCAACCTGGATATCAACACGCTTTTAGTTTTAGGGGGGGGGGGTGATTTGTGATTTGGTCCTTGACATTGCCAAATTACAAACAATGAATTCTCACTTAGGATACTGTGATTAATTTGATAATTTTGTACTGTTATAAGCTACACTGAGGAACAAATACATACCCAATCAACTATGCTATCATCAATAAAGGATTGAGTTCTATCAACAGGCCGACGCCCACTAATCAACTCTAGAAGCACAACACCAAAGGAATAGACATCTGACTTCGCTGTAAGCTTCCCAGAGGAGGCATACTCTGGTGCCATATAACTGCAATTGGAATGGTGCATTTAGAAATTGTTCAAGTAATTTTACCATAGTAAATGAAAAGCAGAGGGGAAGAGGCGATGGAAGAGAAACCCAAAACATCTACTCTTTTGTTTTTATTTTTTTCCAAAACTAGATTACATGGCACAATCTTAACTATTCACCAGTAATATGACAAGTTCATTACCCAAAAGTTCCCATCACTCGGGTTGAGACATGAGTTTCTGTATCTAAAGAATGTTTGGCAAGTCCAAAATCAGCAACCTGAACAAAAAGAATCCTGGTATACTCATCACATATATAATTTAACATCAAAGGAACTGAATAGAATAAATAATACTAACCTGTATAGTTTTACACAGCAATCTGAATCAAGGGCCACAAGTTTTCACAAACTTTTGTAAAACATAATTTTTTAATATTTTCAGTCATAGTTCGACCTTGAGGAGAATGAAGAGAGAATAAATTGGCACTTAGTATGTGAGTATTAAGGAATTGTTTATTTCAACTATTTACAATTACAGTACATTTCAAGCTATCCTATTTAGTACAGATTTTTCTATGTTTTGAGTTCTTCTACTCCTATTAGGACTTGGTTTTCCTATTTTTATTTTCTTTGGTGTGTATAATTAAGAACCCTAGCTAGTCACTCAAGTCATGCTACGCTATGAATATTGATCAATCAAATAAAATGAGTTTTTTGAGAGTTGTTCTCTGGGGTGTTGTGTTGCTTTCACTCATTGATTGGTCCCACATCACTACCAGAATGACGTCATTTTTCAATTCTAATACTCCATTTTAAAGAAATTTGCATGTTCAAAAACTTGTGTGAAAGAGATATCCAAATCTCCTTTGAAGTCTAGAACAACACACGACCTTTTGTCAATTGTCAGCATCAGGAAGGGAGGGCAAGGAGGCAAATTAAGATCGTGTTCATTGATATTTGAGATTTAACTTGAAAAGTCAATTTGGTGGGCACTGGAAAAAAATCCATGTTTATCAAAAAATGACCAATAATCATTACACAAACATTTTAAATGACACATACCCTACCTTTGCTTCAAAGCTATGATCAATAAGAATATTAGAAGCCTTGATATCCCGATGTATGATTTTAGGCTGGCCTGAAACATATTTTACCACAAAAAGCGATGGGAATTCAGAGATAAAGAGCTTAAAAGTAAAAAATGGACAAGCTAAACGTAGCAGGAAAAAAATACTAACAGTCTTCATGCAGATATGCCAATCCTTTTGCAGCGCCAACTGCAATCTTCATTGTTGTTGACCAGTTCATGGTTGGTCTCCCATTCTCTGATATGCACTATATTTTAGCATGAAAAGTTTGTTCTTAAATCACTCTTCACTCTAACATTACTCTCACACCATATATTTTGAACTTCTATTAAGGCCAACACAGAGGTGATTCCATTAAATGATAAAGAATCACTTTGATGTTCGTTTCGTTACACTTTCCCCCCTATATTATTTTCAGAGAATTAAAATTAGTCCATGTCCCTTCCCCAACTGCTCCAGAGCTTACTCAAATTCCCTTCTGTGCCAATAGACAAAGTCAATAAAATAAAATGGAGTACTGATGCTTTTTCTTAACTACAGTTGTCAGAGAGGAAACGTGGAACAGGAAACCACCCTCGCTTGTCATAATAATTTTACATCCATATATTTTCACAAGTAGACACGGATGCGAATTTTTTAGTGAACTATGAAAATAAGCATTAGAATGGCAGATGGATTTTGACGTTGATATTCTTTTTGCAGGCTTTATATCTTGGAGCTCTTAGTAATAAGGAAATTTTAATAAAAAAGAAAAAAGAAAAAGGACTCACCATGTAAATGAAATTCCAAGGTGTAGTTGGGTACAAACTCATAGACAAGCATTCTTTGTGCTCCAGTGATGCAGTAACCAAATAATGAAACAAGATGTCGATGATGGACACGGCTAATAATCTCAATCTCGGCCCGAAATTCACGCTCACCCTGTCCACTCCCAGATTTAAGCTGCTTAATTGCAACCACCGTACCATTAGCAAGGATTCCCTTGTGAACATAGCCAAAACCACCCTGACCAAGAAGGTTGGCTTCGGAGAAATTATCAGTGGCCATGGCTAGTTCTTCATAAGTAAAAGTGCTCTGTGAATATCCAAGAGCAATTCCAGGAGTTGGTGGTGGAAATTGCTTATCAGAGCCCATGCTACTGCTTGTCGAAGGATGTTCAGCAAAAATACCAGGCATTGGTGGCAGTTGGTTACTCGGAGGAGTTCCTTGCGGATGAGTGAGCTTCGGCCACATCATCATTTTATTGTCCGAAGGGGGAGCGGTATTGTTCTGCCAATCATCATCTGGAGGCATTAAAAAGAGCATAGAAACATAAAAAGCAAAGTAATGGACAAGAGTGGCTTGAACAGTTCAACAAACATCAAAAATAAATTGTTGCAAAAATCAAAAGGGACGACAGTTTTATGCATTCGAGTTGTATCAGCCATCTCTACAAATCACATTGAATAACACAAGTCTTTAACGTTTAAGCGCGAATCCAAACAGAACCATAAACGAAATTGTATAAAGCGATCGATTGGAATCGGACAGCGTATAGTACACTACAAGAAACGTAACAAATCAGGAACCCAAGCACAAATGCACATTGTATGCAATTCAAAGTCAGTAAAAACCAAAACAAACCTTTGCTAGCTACTTGCAAGGGTTGGCCAGCGAGCAACAATCTCTGCGCTTCCTTCCGTTTCTTCCTCCGGTACACACAAACAGAAATACCCACACCAGCCAGCACACCTAACACTACTCCTACTATCAACGCCGACAGTACCGGCGGGGACGGCCCTGCGACGGCCCTGCCGGTCCATGAGATCCACTTGGATATGACGGTGGCGTTAGAGTACCATTCGAGCTCGTCGGTGGAGGTGCCTGAGAAGCAGTTTGGTTGGTCGTGTCAGGAGGAGGCGGAGATGTGAGGTTAGATACTGGCGGCGAAGGGGTGGAGTTGAAGGGGACCGGAGAAACTCCCGGAGACGGTGACGACATCGTCCGTAATGTTTCCGCTAGGGGTATTCTGTAGTGAGAGGGAGAGGGTGCTAAAAGCAGCTTAGAAGTTTCTTTATTGTGTCACCATGAGTAGAAAAGAAGATGTCATTAGTGGATCCCACAGAATTATTTATTATCTTGCTAATTAGTTGTCTTCGTTTCTTCTTTTTCTTTTTAACTTTTCAGGGCAGATTATTTATCGGAAATACATTGTTTTTTTTTTTAATTTGGCAATTATCAGATTAAATTATAAATCAATTTATTAGATTGGATGAAATTAAAAAATGAAAGATTAATTTTCATCACAAACTTTATATTTTTTTATTTTATAGCTTTTGGCAGGAAAGGAAAGAGATGAGAGAAAGTTACCAAAATCCGACACTAAAGAAGTAATATCTTTATTGATATTTATTTCAACCATTGAAACAAATGAAATTAGTATTAAATTGTCCGGGGAGCTCACTTTAAGAGTTTTCTTACTTTAAAATTCCCGATAAAAATAGATATAGTCTTAGTAAGTTCTTTAGTTTTTGGTTCATTTCAAATTTTAGGATGGTTTTATTGGGGTTTTTAAAGTCATAAATGGATTTATTAAATTATTTATGCTATTATTTAGGTTTTTTGAGTAAAAATATAAGTTAAAAATTCAGTTTGAGAATCTATAAAAACATTAGTTTTATTTTCTCGAACACCATAATAATTAAAAACTTAATAATACAGATGACGTGTCATTGTCTTAATAAACGATGTGTCAATTGATTTTTTTCAAGAAACATTAAGCAACAATATGATGAAAAAAAAGAGTTCAGTCAAACAAGCTTTAATTAAATAAGTTATGTGTGTTAGTCTGACTTGTTAAACCTAGCTACGTATAACCTTTTTTTGTTATATATATTTTTTAAAATTAATATTTTTTGTATTTTTATTTAGATTAATATATCTTCTTTCTTTTATTTTGTTTAAAGTGTTTATTCAAATGATGGTTATTTTTTTGTTATGCTTTTAATTTTTTAAGAGGTTTTTTTAATTTACCTTTAAATTTTCTTTTATTTTTTGTATAAATAAACTTTATTTTTAAAAATAAAAAGATATTTTCATATAATATTTTTAATTTGTGCAGTCTTTCATAGTGTTTTTTTTAAGTAATATTATTTGGAAATAAAATTTATTTATTATAATAATATTTTTTTATCAAAAGCAAAATAATAAACTATTAACCATCACATAAAGAATTACATTAAATCTTGAAATAAGTTTAGTGATAAATATTTCTGATTCTGCACGGTGCATCACAAATTCATGTAAATTACCTTCATGGCATGTATAAAATCTAAAACTAATGGAGTAACAAATTTTTAATACAAAATTAATTTAAATTTCAAAATATAAATTCTTAAGGAAATTCTTAAAGAAAGGCAAGGAGAGCAACATATTACTACAAAAACTAAAAGAGTCCAGTGCTAGTAATTCTAAAAAGCAAAAATCATTCGACCAAATAAATAAAAGAAAAAACTTGAATGGATTCTAGTTTATTTTTCTGCATGTTTACAAATAAATAATTAAATTCTTTTCAAGAAGATGAAATTATTAATATTAATAATAACTTTTCTTTACGAGAAGATAAAATCATTAATATTAATAATAACTTTTTTTTATTGTCAATGAATGGTTAATTAATAAAAAAAAATTTATTTGTTTTACAAATTTTTTTCTTTTTGTCTCAAATCTAGAAACTTGAAATGCGAAGAAAGTAAAATTGTTGTATCAAAAAATAAATTTCAATACTAAAGAGACCTAAAACAAACTCAATATAGAATATAGGGACTAAAGATAACTTTTTCTAGATAAATTTAAGATAGGCCTTCATGGATTTGTTTTTTCATTTTTGTCCCTATTCTTCTAATTATGTCTCAATGCTACAAATTAAAACCATACCTTGTTAAATTAACCCACAATCAAATTCTAAAATTTTATAAAAACCTTAATATCTCGAGGAAATGTAAAGAATAAAAACAAACAATGAAAAACATGAAAACACATAACATAAAAGGATAAAACCAAAAACATAATTTTGATTACCAAAATAAATAAATAAATAAAATCATTATTATAGTCCATAATAATTTAAGAGAGGAGCTATAGTAAAATCCGCTGATAAAAAACCCTAAGCCTTTTAGGTTTTTTTTTTTCATGTTAATATTTTATCTCTTTTCATGTTCTCACATGCAGTAGTGTCCAAGAACATTTTGATATTAAATTAAAAGTATGAAAGATAATTTTAGATTATGATTAAAATAATAAATAAAAAAGACTAAAATAAATAAATAAAATAGGGTCCAATATTCAAAAGGTGCAAAGAACTTCAATTTATCCCTAAAATCTCAGTTGATGTGTTATTTAGTCCCTAAAGTTTTGATAATATATGTTTTAATCCTAAATTTTATTTTTTCATGTAGTGTTTAGAGATGAAAAAAATGTCAACAAAAAATGAAAAAAGAGAAAAAGAGGTATGTTGTGCATACTTGACAATGAAAAAAGACCAATGTTAGTGTCAATTGATTTGTATCAAAGAGAGAAGTTTCATGAAGATGATTTAGAATTTTTATTTTGCTTAAAAAAATAATTGGGTATAGAGATGTTTTTTATTTAATTTTTTATTTTCAAATAGAGTTTTAGGTTAAAGAAGGATTTTATAATGTTTCATATCATATTTTTTAGGTGTTTACAAATAAAAATAAGTTGAAAAAAATTTTTAGGTTAACAAAACTCAAACCCCAATTCTAGTGGTTAAAATTTGAATTAGTGGATAACAAGTTATTTATCTAAATGTACAGTCCATCATTTGTTCTAACCAATTAAATGGATAACGTATCACCAATCCTTTATGAAAAAACATACAAAGAAATAAAAGCAGATGTGCATGCCTGGTTTTCAAGCCTCATATGTGTTTAGGTTTATTGTTTTGGGCTAGACACGCAGGTTCCTTTTACAAGCTAAGATATGTTTGTCCTTTTTGTTATGTTGTTTTTGTCTATTTTTAGAATAAGATTATCTTTAAATTAATTTATTAAAATAATATTTAACGATAAAGCTTTTATAATAATATTTACAATTACTTTACAAATAATCATGTAACAACCTCATATGTAGATTATCTTTTAAATCTTTCTATTAATATTCAACAAAAATAAAATATCTATTTTGTTATTGTATTTATTTATATAATTTTTTTCATATTTATTATTTTTTATATTTATTTATATTATTGTATAAAAATGATTGATCCATGATTTTTTTTTATTAAACCTTACTTTTAAAGTCATAATATTTTTTTAATTTTAAAAAATGATTTTTCTAATAAAAAAACATGTTTTGTTTTCTTAGAATATAAAACAAAATTCATATTTTAATCTTTGCTCAACATTAATCACTCTTCCTATGATTTACAAATTCATATGTATATTTTTAAATTTATTTATAAATATGAAGACCTTGTTTTTCAATTTTTGATTAAAAATTTATAATATTGTAAACAATATTAATAACACTAACCCAAATATCTCACATATTAGAAATAAAAATAATAATAATTCATGCTGAGGATTCATTATAACTCCCCTCATAAACTATCGTGGACGGCTACAATAGTTTTTTCCCCCAACTCTTGCATGAAAATTGAGGGAGAGATAAAAGAAAGAGAGAAAAGAAAATTAGGGAGGAAAAAGGGTTGTTAAAGTCACTTTATGTCTTCATTGATGACATGTGTTGTTGTGGATAAAGAAGTTGGCAAGATGATTTTGATGACATCAAAAAAGAGAGGTGTTAGATTCCAAAGGAAGCTATACATATCGCCCAAACACGACTACTTCCTCATATGTTGGAATATATTTTGTATACGTTGTCAATTTTTCTTATAATTTGCTCCCCCATTAATTTTCTATTATTCAATCTCTGGTTATTTGATAACTATTAAATTTTTTGACCTAGTCATTAATTTTTTTTATATCTCTTTTGTTTAGTCCTAAACTTCATTCCACATTAGCCCAAAGAAAACTCAATCAAAGAGAAAGGAAGGGCAAGGAAATGAAAAATATTTTTTTATTCATTTGATCCCTAGTTTATTGTTATAACTCTTTTATTTTTATGTTGGGTTGTTAAATATCATACATGCAATGTAAATAATAAAACAAAAATATTTGAAAGTCTTTAGGATCCTGTTAGACAAATATAGAGATATGTAGGAATTTATTATTTAAAGATCTAATCTTTTTCAAATTTAAAAAAATTCTTAAAGGTTGGATTGTCACAAACCACAACTAGTTCACTTGTTTGGCTTCCAACGGTAATCCACACAAATCTTTAGTGAGAAATCTCTTAAATTTATATATATATATATATATATATATATATATTGATTGTTATGTTTAGAGTACTACTTCTCTATTTTGTGAATTATATAGATTTTTTGTCTAACATACAACCACAAAAAAATAAAAGATTTAATTTACTATTTATAGAAAAATCTAAAAAACCCTATAAATTGGAAAAAATGTCAACTTTTTCCTTAAACAATATCTATATATTTGGAAAAATTTTAGAAATTAACTCAATTAAGAGGGCGTTTGGGACTGCATTTGAAAAACGCTTCTGAAAAAATTAAATTTTTTTTTTGCTTTGAATTAATATGTTTTTTAGGTTTTCAAAGCATTTTGATGTGCTGATCTTAAAAATAATTTTTAAAAAATAAAAAAAATTATTGACATACTTTTCTAAGTGAAAAACACTTTGAAAAAAAACCACATCCACACCACCAAACACATTCCAAGTCCTTACTTGATTTTTCTAGATCTAGAAATATAATCCATGTATTAATTATATTATAGTCCTTAATTTTTAAAATATATTTTAATCAAGTCACACTTAATTAAATCATCCTAATTTAATTTTTGACAAATGATTCTTAATGTATGTAACTCATTAGTTCCTAATATATTGGCCCAAATATAAATTATAATTCTCATTAAATATAATTATATAAATTAAATAATTTAATTTATTATCAATTCAATAATTGATTAATTTATAT